AGAAAAAAAATGTGTATTGGGCGATGGGATAATCCCTCTTCTGAGGAATTGTAGTAGTCTACTTCAAAGAAAACGACCGTACTCGTTCAATGTCACTCAACAACTCCCTTTTATTGCATCAGCATTTTTGGAAAGTTCCCGAAGTAACTTATGTATGTACATCAAGTGAAAGAGATAAGCTTACATTGACACATAGTATGCTAGAATGAATACATTATATTGATTAAGAATGATGATGAAGAATAAAGGATAATAGACAAACTTACACTAACGGCTAATATTCAAATTAACCCTACATCGATACTTCTATATACTTAGGGCTAAGGAGACATACTAAGGGTTAACTGCTTATTTATTGCTACAATCAGTAGCTCAGAAATAGTAACATTGGCGGCACGTTATTTTGCAACTTACAACGTAAGAAAGAGGTCATCGGAGATGTTCATTTTGTGCTGTACTAATAGATGGCGTTGGTCATGATGACAATTTTTGTACTAAAAGCTGAGGGAAAATATAGATTACCTTGTAAGGTGCTCACATATTTTCCTAGTGGGTATGTACATTACTATGAATTACTAAAGATGTTACTGCTTTCCTAACCTAACCATAAAATATAAGTTTTATCAGCAGATTGGGCGGTCTAATTGGCTCATTTAGCTAAATTTAGAAAACAAATTTCTAGTCTTAGTCGAAATGGGTTGCTATTATCCATGCAAAAAGATACTTTTTACTAAAAATTAAAAACTAATAATTTTCTTCAGTGAAAATAATACATGCACCCACCCTGTCGGAAACAATAATTACCAAAAAAGTGATATAAGTTACCGTTGAAACACAATGCCAGGGAATGGCGAATTTTTCGCCTCGAATGTCCGCTGTAAAAATTAAAACACACTTAGGTTGTTCACTAGGGTTGTCCAAAAATGCATGTGAAAGAGTAAAGTCATCATTTTTATGCTCTCACCCCCTAAGATTGTTCTAAGCCGAAAAAATATACCCTAATTTTTTTATTTTGAAATCAAAAAATACTTGGAGGTCGCTCAGAGCGCCCAAAGTTTTCCATGTATTTTAAATGGGGAAAAAACTATTTTTCGTAGAAATGGTATAGAATAGTTAAAAATCAATATTTTTCGATCCCTATAATAATATCCAATTGCTTACTTAGCCATTTTTTCATCGCAACTATAATTTATAGGTCCGCCAAAAACCCACAAAAACACACACACACACACAGCCTTAAAATGCAAAAACCGTTATTTCGATGATAACAAATCATTTCGATCCTTCCTTAATTTCATTAGCAATATGTTCAATCATACATACATAGATTGCAACTAGTGAATTTTATTAAACAATTTTATATTTGATAAATATCTTCAAAATATATATAAATGAGTTTTTATTGTCCTTAGGTATCTGTCTACTTGTACAGGAACTAACGTAGAGGATTACATTATACCAGATCAATTTGTATTATTTGCTGTCACAAAATCGTTATTCATTTTCTCAAATGAATTATTGCTTAGATCAATCTGTATGAGAAACATTACACAGTTGGTTACTGTACATAAAATCTGCAAGAAAGTAAAAAGAAGAAATATTAAAACTGTTAATAAATCCAGATGCTAGAAAAATGGCGTTGTATGTACATATAGATGTGAATAAAATTACAACCGATGGCAAATAATTATAATACTAGTTTACAGTGATTTTCACCTGTGGCATTTGACTGTCATTCCCTATGAAAAATTTGTCCCTGAATCCGAATATGAAAGCAGATATTAAGAGAGTAGAACAGTTTTCGAGATATAGCTATATTTCCTTTCTTCGAGTTTGAAAAAAATGATAGGAAATATATTTGTAATTCGTTAGTTCTTAACTTGCCCCCCGAGTCCCCTAAAGCCATTTTCATTGGGAATATTCGGACGCTTAAAATGTTTTGTGAATCCCCCACACAACTAAATTTTCTCCGCGAGTCAGTCTAGTACCACCAAATTTGTTTACATATTTACCTACCCCTGTAAGCAGCAACAAATCCAACTCAACTACACCGCACGCCATTTCCGTTGGCTTTCGTGCCATCATTTGTAATAGAAAGCGATTGATAGCATGTTCCATATCTTCCGTTGCAATTTTTATCTCATTAAGCACAAGTGGAGTGCGACACTTCTAAAAAAAAAAAATAAAAGTTAAACAAACAAAAATGTAACTACTTATTTTAGTTACGTCTCGCTCACCTCCTCTACAATTGCATTATTTGCGATTAGTATTAAGAAAATGCGGGCCAAATGTTGTAGTTGCCAAAGTATTTTGCCCGGCTCAGAAGTGTGAAAACTTTTGTAAATCTCAAAAACATAAATGGATAAAGCAAAAAGTGAACCCAAAATGTGAAGCAACAATATGAAACCGAAAATATTAGCCACTTGCTCCATTAGCGCATCCAAGTCCGAGTATAGACGGCGTATGAATTCCAAAATCTCGTAATCACTACGGATATCCGAATATGAATTGCAGAACTCACGCTTATACCATGCAAACTCTGTAACATAAGGCATATGAGAGTCAAATTTTCTAGAGCACTCGCTGCTTTCTTCCAATCGGGATGAGCTAAGCAAAACGTTGTGACGTGTTCCTAGGCGTTGCTTGAGCGCCTCATTAAAACGCTTATAAAATAGACAAGCAAAACGCAAACACAACCAATATTGACCCAATTTCAGTGATAGCAGAAAGCTTGGTAAATTATGTGCGCCTACACCACGCATCAGTTCATAAAATTGATATTCAACATGAAAATACTTTAAGCAAAGAAACATCACTGCGAGCAGTAAAATGCATAAACTGTAAAATTTTAATTCCTTGCAAAGCGTCGACAAGAGTTTAAACTCCGATGCACGGGGATGCTGCGCTTCAAAGCGATTTATTTCCATTAGGATATGCATAAATTTTCGCGGAATAGTACTATAGTGCAGGGCGTAATAAAAAGTGCTGAGCACAATAGTGGTACCAATAAAGTTGTTGATTATAATTTCACCAAAATAAAATACTTTCTCAATTAGAATTATGGATGGATCTAGTGTGCTTATATAACTCCAGCTTAGCGCGTAAATGCATATAATAATAAGGAAACCAAGAAGACAATGCAACCGTTGCAATAGTTGAAATTTGTTTTTGCGCAGATGCGCCTTTAAAATAGGTGCCACACAGAATAGTTGACAAATCGCAGCGAGTACGTGTATCAGGCGATCCAAGGGCGCGTGGATAGTGAGTTTGCGGTATGATTTTTGTGTGAGTGCCGGTGCCACCATTGTGCTGTAAAGAGAGTACAAAAGATGCTTAAGTATGGTACTTATGGTATCAATTATTTTTTCAAAATTTTATATTTGATGATGCACTACATCTATATACTCTAGGAACATTTCTGCATAAAAAAAATAAAATAAAATGTCGCTTATGTCGCGGGCTACATGTGTATGTATGTACATTAGCCTGCATCACCAAAAAAAGTTACGGTTTTTCCGCTGGGATTACAAAATTTATTATATTTTAAGACATTCACAAAAATATTTCGCAAAAATATTAAGATTTACGTGAGCTGGACCGATTTGAAAACACCTCCAAAAATGGAGTTTTTTATGAATAAAAATAATTTCTTAAAGAACTTTATGAAAAAGTCCCCTCAGATGACAAAACAGATTAAGCTTAAAAAAATCTGTATAAAAATATTTAAAAATCTTTTCAATGAAATCATAACAATGAGATTTTTGATGCTGTTTTTTTTAACTCTTTCAAATATTTATTTACGAAAAACCTTAATAACTGGTCAAAACTATTCTGATTTAGACTAATGGGATCTCAATAGAAAGTTATTTTCAAACTATTTTTATTTCTGTCCAAAAAAAAAAAGTCATTCGAGCCCCAATTTTGTTTTCAAATACCAACACATCTTAATTCAACTTTGAAGGACGTTCGTTCGTTCATCATTAGCAAAGAAATAAAAAGGGTGAGAAAATACCTTTCCAATGATACCCTACAAGTCTAAATCGGAAGAGCTTAGGTTCAATTACTCAAGTTTTTCTTATACCATTCTTTGAAAAAAGTTCAAAATTTTTTTTAATTTTTTAAAAATATTTTTATGGAAATTTTTTAAGCTATAACCGTTTTGTCATTGGAGGGGATTTTTTTTCAAAAAAAAAATAAAAATCTTTAAGAATNTGATTTTATAATCCCAATGAAAAAACAGTACCGATTTGTTTTTTTTTTTTTTGTATGGGGAGTGATGCAGTCTAATGTACATACATACATATGCACTAATTTTTTAGCAATTAGGGTTACTTTCTTGGACTTCCTTAGACCTCACTGGAAACCTTAAGCCGTATAAAAGATCGACGTATGGCTACCTTAAAACCCTTTACGGATCGTTGCTTTTCTGAATTAGCTTTAAGTAGCTTTTTAATCGTTCACACTCCCTTTAAGGATTAGTGGATGATTCAAAGGGACTGGAGCTCACCACACGGGTCAAGTATCTAACGTCAATAAGATAATATACTCTGATAACCTAGTAGCAGGGAAATTGCAAGGAGGTGTACGGCTGACGAGTGTGGCTGAAACGAACTCACTGGGCAGTGAGCATGTCAGTTCAGCGAACATTGAGCGAAAACTAGGACGATGATTCTGACAGGTCACTGTGTGAAAGGAGTTTACGCGCTGGGAAGACTAAAAATCTCATCTGACGTTTATTACTGCAGTTGCTTGAAGGATTATTGGACGGTCTGACCTCTATATTTTCTACGAAGATGACAAGTTTTACACTTATTGGCCAAGCTCATTAGTCCTCTTCGTAACTTTGTATTTGATCCGTGACACATATGTAGGGTGAAACAAAGGTGATGCAGACCTTTGACATTTGTTATATGTTATTGTTTTCTTCTCTGTTTCAGACAATCAGTACTACAGACTTTGGAAAACTTAGTCATGGAGCTAATTGTAAGCGCCAAAATATTATTATTAGTCATGGAGCGATACTCAGTTGAACAAGGCGTAGAAGTAATCCAATCGTTGATGTCCATCCATTCCTTACAGCCTACCGTACTAGTACTCACAGTTCCAAAACTATCCTACATGTAAGCATGTAGCTAACGATAATTTTGTGCAGGATATACCATCCTGCCAAGCGTCAAAAGTGGAACTACTGCATATCCATGGTGTGTTCACATGCATGTGCTGAGGTCAGCGTTAATCGTTGGAGTAGAGATAACATTAGCAGATAGTATTAATATGAAATTGTTTCAATTTTTAATGAGTACAAAAATCATTTAAGTGTTTGGCGTGATGACAACTATTACCCTATACAAATACACTATTTAATGCTTGTAGCAGGTTAGTGTGCCGTACAAAAAGTGAATCCGCATTTGACCCACTAGGAAAGCGTATGTAATATACAAATATAGGATACAGCTAATTGACATGAACCATTTTATTCGGATTTGTATGCTAAAATATAAGCGTAAAAATATGTACCATCATAACTAAAAGGTGGTTCTTCTAGACCTATTTTCAATTTCAAATAAAACACCCGAAAGAACTTTCTCTGACATTTACTTTTTAAAAATAATTTCATTTAAATGTTGGCCGCGGCTAAGCTGTACATCGTCGATTCGGAAGGTCTTACTGTCAATTACTCTTTTCAGCAGTACGCGAATTTTGCTAGTAATGTTAGCTTACATGTTTTCAATCATACATAGCTGGCATATCGACGAACACTTTTGACTTCACATAACCCCAAAGAAAAAAGTCCAGAGAAGTGATGTCACACGATAACTTGATGAAACCAAATGTTGCCGACATCGCGGACTTCAATTTCAAGCAACAAAACGGTCGTGCTCGTTATTGACGGCTATCTCCTGTCCGCCACCAACATTTGAATGATTTTTTTTTAAGTAGATGTCAGAGAATGTTCTTTCGGGTAATAAGAAAGATTTCAACATCCAGTTCTGTTTAAGATCACCCGATGGCAGGAAAGTGTAAAGCACTTTATGCATTTTGCTTATAGTTTTGAAGGTAAATATCTTTGGGCTTATTTTCTAGCAAAAAAAAAAACTCCGAGTTATAGTAGTAATAAATGCACAATTTCCGTAAGAGGTTAAATACCGACTTTGATAAATGAACGGATTTTATGCCTGAAAATAAGCAATGGCTAGTTTAATAATTTCATACAGAAATATCTAATATCAACTCCAATATTCCCCTTAAAATTTTCTTTCGATCACTTCCGACTATGCAACCCTTTTTCTCAAAATGCGTCTCGGCTCGATCGCTTTTACCTTCATCGGGGGCTTGTGAGAACCTTGCAGAGAATCCAGAGGAGATCTTCTCTCGTGAGCCATCAGTTGCACTTTGTTAGATATGATAACTCTCCCATCAAAAATAATTCTTTAGAAAATACAAAAAAAGTCAACCAATCAGCTAAGGCGTGTAAATACTACAGCTATTCGCGCACTCCTTCCTCACAAACTTCCACTCAAGCGTTGTGTAGGGAAGGTGCAACTTCTGGGTCGAATGACCGATATTAGGCTTTCAAGCCACTATAATGTAATTTACTGATGTATCTAATGCAGGAACCGTAAAGCTGCTTTTACGTGAGGCGATTCAACATTGTTCAACAAAAATCACTCAATTCCAATCGCGGTGATTCAAAAATCGCTTGCCTCAAAACAGACAGAAAGTCAACTTTTGCAGGCGATTATCGATTGCCAAAAAAACGCCTCAAAGTGCATCTGAAGCTCTGTCTCGGCAACAGAGGATGTTCACTTCTGTGGCATGTCAGGATGGTATGAAGCGAGCCACTGCGGCAGCGACTACCCTGTGGAAATGACTTTCGCCAGCGTGAACGTCTGAGGGTGTGGGAAGGGCGGGGAAGCTGCTCTCGGTAACTTCCGCGAAACCGTTCCAATCAGCTTTGTTAAAGTTGGTATAGGTAAGGTCGTGCGCGGGTGCGCGGGTGCAAAGTCGGTGGCCTTATTGATCGTGGAGGCTGGTGGGGCCATTTGGCTTGAGCAACAGGGGGCCACAAAGCTTGTGGTCTACTCCCAGTGAGACCTAAGGCCTGAACAGGTTCTTTGGTGACTCCATTCATTGCAGGAATTGCACCTAACCGAAGTGGATGGAGCCGTCTCTGCCAAACGCAGCAGAAGTATGTTTCTGCTACGGGGTTAGGCTCAATGCCCGCCCGGAGAAGAAGGATGCGGAGCAATCCGGCTGCAGGGTATTGCTCCATGACGTCGCCAGGTCGCCAAAACAACAGCCTTTGATCGAGTAAAACCCGAGTCATTCCGGTACGTAGAACCGGCTGTCGTAGGAATGATACATATTTATCGACTTGATCGACTCCATATCTATAACATTATAACAGGGAGTGGATAATGGCGATAAAGATGTTTAATCTGTAGTTAGTGTTAACCAGACATTGAACAACCGACCCTAAGTGTTTGTTTCATCTGACCACCTTCTAGCTTCTTGGAAGGGGCTCTCTCAATTAAAAGAAAACTTTCTTTACAGAAGTTACCATTTAATATTCCGACAGAACCGCAACAGACTGCTCATTAATATGTAGGCGTTGTTCTTTTGGGAATCCAATCCCGTATTCCTCGGACTAAAAGTAGTAAAACTGTCAATAAATAAAAATTCGCTCAGAGCGAAAGAGTAACACTGAAAAGTACGGGATCGCTTTTTAGTAAAAAATGGTAACTTCTGACAACTTCAACATAACCTCTAAATTTTGATAGCGAAATTTTGCTTATTTTGTGTGTAAACACACTCAGCTCACACATGTAAATAAGTAAAAATACTTTCAAATTCATCCACTTAAAAAAGTAATTAAATAGTTTTCAAAATTCATTAACAGAGTGATCTTTTCTTTTGTTTCCAATTTAGTTGTCAAACACACTACAGCTGATCCTTTGACACATTTACCAGAATTTACCAAAAAAATCTTCGGACTAAAACTGGTAGCTTCCGACAGAGAGAGGACCTTAGTTGCTCTCTTTTTTGTCCTCTCAATTGTCAGAGAACCGAGTACGGGATCGATTTCCAATAAAATGTGACTAATTCTGACTATTTCTGACTAGTCCGGACTCGTACAGGATCGTAATTAATAATTCCTTCATCTATTCCGTTCGAAAATAATAATCATTAGTGCATTCACAGTATTTTTCTTGCAGGGAAAAATGTTTGCTAAGCGCATTCAAATATTTTCCTACCAGTTCTTTCTAGCATAGAAAGGAATACTCCTCATACCCTTGTAGCGTGCACTTCATCAACAAATTTCTCGACAGGAATATTTGTACACCAACATACTAACATAGTTCGGCCAGTGAAGCCCTAATGCATTTGACTAAAAGCCCATAATTAACGACATGTTGACATATGATTTGCTCAGTTATTTAAAAATTAAAATCTATTAGTTTTAGAGGAAACCTACGAGTACCTTCAAAGCGGGCATTCATTCATCATGAGTGTGTGAATATCGCGCTTCATACTAAACACAAATTACCTGTTGTATTCATTAATCAAAGAATGTGATATACAATTAATTTTACCATTTCAAGCACTTAACCAAGGTGCCACGTGCTGCACCGTGACGCGCATAAAACCGTTTCAGTCTATGTTTGGATTCCAATCGGTCTTTTATAGAATGTTGTCTGCAATAGTTTATAAACAAAAATCGAGCAATCAGGTGAAACCGCTAAAGAAATCGCCGCCTAATTCGTCCAGCGAGCAGATTACCGTTAATGTATTGGAAACGCGACTATATCGTTCAGTTCATGTTCTTTTAATACTCTCCGAGCTGTTTGTATGCCTGCCTTATGGCGCTCATCGACGCCTACCAACAACGACCAGCAGCTGCAGTGATAAAATTTTAATGTTACTCCACATCACCTGGAGCATTGGTATTTACGTCAGTCTCGTCTTCACCATCTACGGCGAGTACACGCAATCGGACAAGGACTTGCCCACCGTACAAAAACCGTTGTTCTTTTGCGAGTATTTAGTCTATCTGGTGCACTTATTTCAAATATTACTCTCTACCTACTGGGCGCGCCAAAAATGTCGACGTTTCTTGCACACAATCGCAGAATTCGATTATAAACTTATATCATTCGGAAGACCACCAGAATATCAACAACTGAATCGCTTTATAAGAGCTCATCTGTATCTGATACTGTTATATGTGGTCGCTACCGCTGTCGTTGACTACTTCTACACCGCTGGCATTATGACGCACTTCATTCGCAGCCTAGCCGTTTATCTGTTGCCAAATCTGGTGTTATGCTTCTCGCTGGTACAGTACTACACCCTGCTATATGCCATAGCTCAACGTATAATTTGGCTGAATGAAATCCTGCACGCGGAGCTTTCGCTAAAAACGTCTGCCAGAGTTTTGCGCGAAAAACTACAAGACATTCGATTAAGCTACTCGACACTTCAGATATTCACAAAGGAAGTAAATAATTCTTTTGCCCTCTCACTGGTGCTGGTGTACATTGGATCCTTCACAAACTTGTCGGTTAATCTTTTCCTGTTGTACAAATACTTGGACGATGCGTCTAACTCCACATTTTCATGGATTATGTACTCGTTGGTTTGGACAAGCATGCATATTGGCAAAATGTTCTGCATACTTTATTTTAATTATGGTGTACAGAGTCAGGTAGTGTAATTTGGTGTTTGGTAGTTATATTTAAAACTTACGTTTTTCTAAGCATGCTAGGCGGATTCGGTTTCTCAATACGGGGGTTAATTCGTACTTTATGGTAGTCAGGATGAACGACGAAAGTAGATTAGTAGATTCTTCTTATATCTTCAAAGAAAGTTTGTGTATTCAAATTATTTGCAGGAGGTACTAAAAAATGCATTGCCTACACTCGATAGAGTCATAAATTGATAATTCATATAGTTAGTTTTTGGTTTTGTTTTGAATTATTTAGTCATAGTATTTTTTAGAGTTAGTATCAGTACGCATTTGCACCAAATTTTATGGATTATGACTTAAGTGTACTAATTTCATTAGAACTCATTGCAGATCTCTGTACTAAATAGAACCCAGTAGGCTAAAATAATCTTGTTTTCATACATACATATGTAAATACACAGCAAGCCAGCTCAGAAGGGTTAACTAACCATTAGTAGATCAACGTCGATTGAGTGTACTTCCTATACCAGTAAAGACGCAAAGAACGAATCTTAATCGGACTCGTGTGGTGTGATTCAAGTACATACCTCGGCAATTTACATGAGGACAAGGAGGTAGATACAAAGCAAAGCAGAGAGGGAGGCAATAGAAAACCAAAGCTATATAAGTACCATCATTTAATCAGCCTCGCAAAACGAAAACTTTTTTGCAAGACACTGCAGACTAGGAGAACATCTCTATATATGGGATATAGTACAATCATCTTTATCGGTGTTGCGACTTGACAAGGAAGACGCCTTCCCATATTATAGATGAGTAGGGGGGCCTCTCTCCCTCTGGACCAACCCAGTTGAAATGGCACACTTCCTGGGTCTCCCGTTAGTTGCGCTTGACGGCAATAATTGAGGGATTGAGGGACAAGCCGAACTAGACAGGGCTAAGTAGCTGCTACAATAATAACAGTGAGTACGACGCCGCCTGCAGAAGACGACGTGGCGAGTCTACGCTTAAAATGGCCATAGACTGCGCAAATTCTGATGGTGATATAGCAATTTCTCCAGAAATTTCTCAGAGGTTTGGCCTTAGGTTGCAGACAGAGTGGAAGCGAAGCCGAAGATGAAGATGAAGACGAAGCCGAAGACGAAAAACAGTGCAGTAGTAAACATGTGAAAGTGATCACAGTGCAAACGAAGACGAAGGCGAAGATGAAGACGGTTGCGCAAGCAGTCAGCTTGAAACTGTGCGGTACTGTTTTCAAAGACGAATCGCCTGCTGTGATGAGTTGTTTACAATATATTTAACTGTTTGCAATTGTGAAAAAACGCGTTTTTCAAGAAATTCGCAAAATTTTTAATTGGCATACTTGTATATTCGAAAAATGTCTGTCCGTCTTACCGTAACACATAATACAAGTGGCGAAATTCTCCAAAAGTTGTCCTATACAAATTATTTCATGAATAGCTGTTTTTTCTTTATTTTCTTTAGATTTTATATAAAAGAAAAGGTTTGTTTTAGAAACAAATCTTCATATCATTGATCTTCCACTATGTACACTCGCCAGCTTGGCCGCAACGCAAACAATTCGGCTCCGGATCCGTCTTCATCTTCATCGTCGACTTCGCTTCCACTCTGTCTGCAACCTTCGTGTTTGGCCGAGCTTGTCCTCCAATTTGTGGGGTGTGCCTTGATGTTGTTACACAAAGCGGAGGGACCTCGAGTCTTACGCCGACCCCGAACGGCGATTGTATTTTTATGAGAAGCTGTTTTTCGTGGCGGATATACACTCGGAGGTTAGCCATTGCCTGCCGAGGGGCGACCGCTGTTAAGGAAAAACCTTTCCAAATTTTGTTGTGATGTTGCCTTCACCACTACACCACAGCGGCCGCGGTTAAGAATTACGGACCGTATATATTACTTGGCAAAGAAGTATTTATCCAGTTACAAGGCTGATGAAAAAAAAAACTTTCTTTATTTAAAAGTATTATTCTATTTTTTTTTTCAGAAAAACAGTACAGCATTAATAATGAATGAAATAGAAGGACAGAACTCGGAAATGGAAGAAACGGTCTGCCGTACAATTTTCTAAAAATGTGTTAAAATTATTTTTAATAATTAATTGCAGATAACACACTTCATATTGCAATTGATTATAAATACGAGAACTAATGTTGTTTGTGGTGTGGTAGAATTAAATATGAACTTTATCACATCAGTAAGTGCTAAGACATAACTTTCATAAAGTTAGAAACCAAATAAAATTGTTTACAAAATTTTTATTTAGCTACTTGTCGGCACCTCCACCATATTCATATTCCTACTACAGTACGACATCACCTATGAGGCGCTCACACAAACTCACAAATCAGGTAGTCGCAGTCAAATGGACTAAACGCCGCTTCAGTTATATGTACATACATATGTACATGAATGAAAATATTTTTATGTGTGATCACCAAATAAAATATTTTAATTTACTTAATAAAATATTTATTTTAATTTCATTGAGCACATTTTCGCAATCCACTAGTGTAGGCGCAAGGCGAACAAATAATTCTTCGTTCACTTACAAATAGCACGGCGAACGAAATAATTTTCACTACGATTTTTTCGTTCAAAGATGGTATCACCGCATAAATAAAAGCGCCCGCCAGCATTTAAACAATCTGGCAAAGCTCGTTAAACAGCTGTTAGTAAATATTTATCTTCACGTGGGAAGGCGAAAAAGCTTCCCAATTGTCCATTTTCTGGTTAATAAATAAAAACAAATAGCAATTTTTCAAAATGTGCGAAGTTGAGACAATAACCAAAATCGCCAACTCCCTCGGAGTACCAGCTGGCGATGTAAAATTGAATTCAGAGAAGGTACTGTCTTCAGTTTCGCGATATATGTACATATTTTTGCTAATTTATTTTATTATATTTTAGGTAGTAACTCGCACAAAAAATAGTAAAACTGTTTCGGGCTTTGCCACTATTCTAAATAATCTTGCACAAGAATCAAAATCTGAGATAGCACTAAACAGTGCAGCAACTCGAGAAATCAGCGCTGAAGTCTATCAGTGGATTGAGTTTGCAGTATTGTATGTGGCACCAGGCTCCAAGGACAAGCACATCTCACAGCAACTGCTGCGTGATTTCAATAAACTTTTCACCACTAAATCGTATTTAGTGGGTTATTTCATAACTATAGCGGATTTAGCTATATTCTTTGCAATCTACGATTTAGTGGTGAGTATCATGTTAATAAGAACTTTAACTCGGAGGCATTCGAAACACAACGGCTATAACGATTGAAAGACGCCTTTAGGATTTACTCTTGTGGTCTCTATGAAATTCTTGAGATTGCTACTAGTATTCCCCGAGCGCATACATTCAAACCTTTTTAACCCAATATTAACAATCTGAATCGCTCCTTTCGGTAATTTTTATATAACTTTGTCCAAAATTTTTACATATAAAATTGTATAGTTCACCACCAATATCTTGTATTTAGTTTGATCGATTATTCCCCTTTTAGAAATCCCTTACGCCCCTCGAGAAAGAGAACTACTTAAACCTATCACGCTGGTTCGATCATCTACAACAGAGGCCAGAAATAAGCCAAGGAGATAGTCTACTAAATTTTAACACAATATATCTGCATGGTTGGGCGACAGGAACTCATGTATAAAGCCTATCCCCGGAGTATTGGCCTACATTTAAAGAAAAGCAAATATGAATACCACGTATGAAAATGTGTACGTATTTATTCGAAATAACTTATTGTATTACATATTAAAATATGCTCAACCCTTCGATTTACAATCATTAAGTAAAAATTATAAAACAATTTTAAGTTCTTTGCATAATACGCATTTTAAATTCAGTATTTTGCCAGCTAATTAATATTGTTGAAGTAAATGTTAATACAAAAGCCGTAATTTTCACTTTCTCATATTATTTTTGTTTTCTTTTAAAAAATTTCCAAAATCATTCACTCGTGTATGGTTTCTTATGAGATAATATATTGTTATGAAAAGTAATTGTGTTGCTTAAAATCCAGTGAAGACATCGCTTAATTAAAAATTGCTAAGATTCATTTTATTCTTGATGCTGTATCGGTCTGCAGTTTTTGGCTGTGTACACAAATCCGTCTACGTCAAATCAATTAACAAATTCGTCCTTAGTTGGCATGTACTTCGCGAGGTGAATTCATTGAATTATTCAATTCTCCTGGTTCAGTGCACTTCCAGAGACCGTAGGTCTTGCCCACAGTTGTCTGCCAAAGTCGTAACGTGCCATCTTCAGAGCCACTGGCATAAAGTTCACCATCTGGACTAAACTTGACCGAATGTACAGGACCAAAATGTCCTTTAAAGGATTCTAGAGAAGAAAAAGAAAGCAAACATAAATACTAGAAGAAAAACAATTGGCTGCCATACTCTATATTAGTACAACTTACCAATCTCATTACCAGTTATATAATCAAATTTATACATTTTAAAATCTTCACCACCACACACAAACACATGTTTGTCTGGATGTAAACTAGCCGACGATACATTTGTCGGCACTTTCACCTCTTTCAGCTTTTTCATTGTGTCCACCTCCCAGAAGCTGATGGTCGAGCCATGTGTTATGGTCAGAATGTGGTTATCAGCTGATATTTCTAAGCTGTTTGGATTGTGAGGAAATTGTAGTCGCTGTATCTCATTGCCAGTTAAACGATCCCATAAACGTACGGTTTTATCCTCAGCTGCCGACAAAATACATTTATCATCGCGGCAGAAGAGTGCCCGTTTCAAAGCACCGGAATGTCCAGCATACATTTCCGGCTCAACATTCGGTTGCTCCAAATTGAAAACTCGCACCAATTTCTCATTGCTGCCAGTGACAATGTTCTCGGAGTTTCTATCAAATGCAACTGTTTTCACAATATGCTTATGTTGAAAACTGTGGATTTCACCGCCCGTAACGGCGTTCCAAACTTTTCCAGTAAAGTCAGCCGCACCAGACGCGGCCAAAGTGGCATTCTTGTTCAGCGCCACACCCCAAACGGCGCCCTTGTGCCCCTCGAACGTGCCCACCCAATCTCCGGTATCGCCTTGTCGCAGCATAGGACTGCCATCTGGAATGAAAACAATTNCAAGGTGGTTCAATCCAGTGGTTCAATAAGTCGTTAATATACCTGTTCAAAAGTTAAATACTAAGGAGTCGATTGATGAAAACGCAACGCTGAAGAAATTGGTTTATCGTCTCAAGAAATCTCTTAAGCTTTAAATAACTTTTCTATTTATAATCTCCTTCGAAAACAAACCTTGAACATTGAACTCTTTGCAATCTATAAAGGAAAGAATCAACAAGGTCAACTCCGACATTGAAATCCTGTCCAGCAAAAATATTCAACAAACGATTGGGAAAAAAATATTAAAATAACTAAAATACATACAGACAATGCGCATACATACACAAACAAACATGCGTATTACAAAAGTGTAATACAAAATAAAATAAACTACAGAAATCGGCGAAGCAACGAACACCGCATACTACAGCAAAAAGTGCAACACGCAAGCAGTCGTCGCCAAACAAAAAAAGCGGAAGCAACCTTGACTCAATGACTGCATCAATGCCAACGACCTGATGCGACTGACTGGCTGGCTGGTGAGCCGATTACGCGATTGGTGGCAGCTATACATACAATGTAAGCAAGTGAGTGCAGTGTAGTGTGCAAGCCCGAAATGTTTTGTTCGAAAATTGTATGAATCTCACGTTGCTGCCACATAACTAGAGCGTCAAATACAGAAGGAGTATAAATGCTTTGAGCTAATGGATGTAGGGAAAATTATAGGAATTTTAATAGAGTTACTGTTTGAAAATACAAACTTGTTCTACATCATTTTAAATTAGTAAACAACTATTGGAAATTTTTCATATTTCATAATTTATATGTAAGTATATGTACATGTAATTTAATGTTAAACCACAGAAGCCATTTTCATGTAGGAATACATACCGAGTCCTATTATTACCAGTAGAGCCTGAAAGGAAATCTATAAAAGCCGGTCGTTGGTGTTGTAATAGCATACACATTCCCCCAAGAGCTTTTGGCGGATGCTGTTGGAGTGGCAATCCTTGGGCAGATATAAAGCTCAGATAGTTCGGGTTACTTAGACCCGGCTGTCGTGGTAATAAGAGTATGCTGCTTTACAGTGGCCACATATGTGCATATGTGCATGTGTATTTATTTCGAGTAATTTGATGTTTTTTATTTTTTTTAGATTATAGTAAATGAAAAGAATGCCGGTTTTTAATATTCCTATTATAATGCTCCAATAGGTTGCATCAAAAAATCTATATAACTAACGATTAGCGTTAGATTTGAAATATATTTCAAAGTATGTACATAATTAAATTTACGTATCCTATATACACGCCCCCATTATTCTACATTTTATACAGCACTTTTGCCTTTTCATTGTATGTACATTGCATATTACAGCAATTTATGTCTCTAAAATCTGCTTGCAGCTGCGCATTCGCCGGATATTGTTATTTTAATAGCATATCGCTGTTGTTGTCGACGTGCAGTCGGCGTTGAAATTTCGCGCACATTGTTTGTTAATCGTGTAGACATTCTAAATCAAGGTGAACAGGCGTTTTTATTATAAATTCTCTTTATTTATCGATTGACTACCTACCTGATCGTCGGTTGTTGTTGTTTAATTGCAATTTCATATGCACTCAGTTGTGTTGCATTGTTAGCATAACTGTTACGCACAACAAAGAAACATGTTTGGAAAAAATACATATATAAACAAATTATTGCAATTAGGAAATGTACGAGTGTGTGTACACTAAGAAAATTGATCTTGATTCAAATTTTGTATTAAGATTAAATGGAATGATTTGCTCTTTTATTTAAATCATCAATTATAAATAAAACAAAAACTGTTTTTATTACTATGTATCTAAACCACTAATGCCCCTATTATGATTCACAACTTTGGAGATAGTTGAGTTGTAAGTTGTAAATTGGTATTGTGGGGCACAACTCAACTCAACTTTGAAAACATAGTTGTCTGTCGTTGCTGCACCAGCATCCTTGGGCTCATCGGTAAAACATAATTCATAACTGATTTCTATTTTATTGCTGTTCAATATTTTAATATAATTAAAAAAAAAACATAATAGTATTAAAATATCGAAATTTGTATCGAATTGCCGACTTTTTCAATGGCTACAGTCAACTGAAAACAGTTGTGAACAGTAATAACAACAAATAGTTGAGTTGTCTAAAAGTTGAGTTGTCTACAAGCCTAAATTGAAGCTTAGGCTTTTATTAATATCATTGTATAAACGTTTCTCATAAATTTTGGAGAAAGCTCCTCGAATAATATTATTAGATTCCTACAAATGTTTGCACCGAAATAATCAAAATTAACATCGGGTTAAATGCTGTAGATATAGTATACATTAGTAGGAATTCAGTAGAACGAAATATGAACAGTTGTTCTCAACCTTAGTTTACTGCTAAATACTAAATCGCAATCGGTGTAGAACAGTCGACGTCCGTACAAATGCAGAAAACAGTTTTCTTGCTCCCTCTTGACAAAATTTATTCCCTTCTAAAGGCCCTGTGTGTGTGTGCAACCTTTTTTACGGGAGTGTCAAAACTCTAATGTCACTGTGAGCAAACGGCTGACTTCCAAAACGTACCAATACAATGTTTGTATATGCTGAGTTGTGAAACATTGCAACCATAAACATTGCATATTTTATATATTCAATATAACATTGAGAGCCCTTTAGGAATTTTTCATTTTCACAACAGCAATCGCAACCAAAAACACACGAAGCATCAAATTATATAGTTATGCGCCTATTGCTCTAGGGATACGTTTTGTTAATTTTATGGGTGTGTTTTAGAAAAGTATACATTGTAAACCATTTGATGTTCGGCGTTACGGAACATTATACCTTGTACGTATGCAATGCAACTGACGTGTTATGTGCCTACATTAGAGTGGTCCAAAAAAATTAAGTTGGAATTTTAATGCCGGCACCCCCTAGGATTGTTCTATATCGAAAAAAATATACCCCTATTTTTTTATTTTGAAATCAAAAAATATTTAGGCGNCCGGCACCCCCTAGGATTGTTCTATATCGAAAAAAATATACCCCTATTTTTTTATTTTGAAATCAAAAAATATTTAGGCGGTGCTCACAGCGCTCAAAGTTTTCCATGTATTTTATATGGAGAAAAAACCATTTTTCGTAGAAATGGTGCAAAACTCTTAAAAATCAATATTTTTCAATCGGAAAACTGTGGTTCTCTTCAGGAGACTTCGAGTATTAATATGCAATTGTTTATTTAACCATCTTTTATGATTAAAGATTTTTTCATTGCATTTTCTATGGGTTTTGGGGGACCTATAAAATATAGTTACTATGAAAAAATGGTTAAAGAGAAAATTGCGTATTATTACTGGGAATCTCCTGAAGATAAGAAAAGTTTTCCGATCGAAAACTGTTGATTTTCAAGAATTTTACACTATTTCTACGAAAAGTTGTTTTTCCTCCATATAAAATACATGGAAAACTTTGAGCGCTTTGAGCACTCCCTATTTTTATTTATTTTTTTTCAAAATAAAAAAATAGTTGTATAATTTTTTTCGATATAGAACAATCCTAGGGGGTGCCGGCATTAAAAATCCGACCTTATTTTTTTTACATACATTTTTGGACCACTTTAGCCTACATTTGTCCACTTTGCCATGCAAAAACGTATGTATATATAGGTAAATATACAGACTTGGCAAAAAGTTGTGTATACTATAATAAGCCATCCCTAATTAATAATAACGCAATTCCAGCTTTTATCAGTTTAAATAAGTAAAGTAATAGTAACAAAGTGTAGAATATGTTCTACAATAATTAAAATTGATTGCATGTATGTACAATAAAATAAACAAAAATTACAAATAGACAAACAAACAGCAACAAAAATGGCAAAGCAAAAAAACAAG